ATGGAAGCTTAAAATTCTATTATATAATTACTACTCAATGCGAGCAAAAATCAAGAACAGAACTAGTTATTTTAATTGAATTTATTCAATGTGCAAGAAAATACCTACAGAACTATAATGCAAGATTGGCATAATACAAGAGACAAGCTAAGCCCAGAGTTACATAAACTCTGGGCCCAGCCTGTGATCTCCAAGAGGCTTTGTTTATGATAGAGCAGCGTTCCTCACAGGCCCCAGCTTTGTTGCAGAGATAATGAGAAAAAGCTGCACGCTTTTTTGCTCATATCTCAAAAATGTACATAAAAGGCAAGACATTATTGCCTTGGAAACCTGGCGTTTAGACCAAGTCAATAAGGCAATGTTTCAGTGCAAGATAAATTCACTAAAACATTGCAAATGGTTTACCTTTCAGGTACCCAAGTCTGAACAGACTGAACATGTTCAATTTGTTTTTACTTGGATACCTGGAAATATTAAATTTGTATTAATTCAGTTCTGACAAAATACAATATAATGTATGCAGCTTCCCAAACCAGAAACCAAAACTTACACGTCAAGGTTCTATTTCAAAAAATGCATTAACTGAATTGCTTACAGTAACACATCTGGCAAAATTGTTAGTACTGTACTATAGCCCAGTTTATCGAGATGAAAATAATACAGTTGGCCCAGGATTTGCACGAGCTCAGAGAATGCAAATTCACATTTATACAAGAAAAATTATAATGGAAAATGTAAACTGAAAGGTGTGGGTTCACCAAAGTCAGAGATGGCAAGCAAGTATTGTAATTATAAAAAATAACACTATGCCCTAAAAATAATACTAGGATATATATAGCACTAAGTAAGACAAACGAGTCAATATATATATCACTTGGAAGCCCATACTGGAGCAGAACTGTCAGTTTATCTATATTGAAAATCTGAATTAGTAATTTTGTATATAGGGATTTCTTGTAAGCAAATTCTTTGATTATCCAAAGATGGAATTTGGACAGAATTGTCACGTTTCTGTTCCATCAAGAAACCAAGTGATCCTTGATGGGGATGAATTATAACTAGGGTTTTGAGGTTTCCTAGTTTGGTTATACAAAAAGACCATGAGGATAAATCCCTATTGATTAAAGGAAACTTAATATTAGTTGTTGCCAGCTATCTCTCTATCATTCCAATGCAAGCATAGAGTATTATTATCAAGAAAGAAGCTAAATACAGGATGGGTCTTTGGGAGATGGGAAAATAGAAGGCATCACCTAATTTTTTATATTGCCCAGACACAATGTTGACTACCATCACTATTTGATGATGATTGATGTACTTAGCAATCATGCTTAAAAAAAAAATGACAAAGCAAGTAGTTATCAAAATATGGCACCTAGTCGGGAAGGCTATGTAGCACCATGAAATGTGCTGGATATTCATAGGGCGCTAAATATCACAAAGGATGAAAATACGAGAACCAAAGTGCAGAAGGTGAACGATATCAAAGGTATCCGATTCACCAAGAATTCTATTGAGGGACAAGTGATTGAGTGGGACGGTCGGGAAGCAAGACCGCACGTCCTGGAAGTCTGGACATTCAACAAGGATATACCATGACATGAAGTAGATATGTTTAATCCTCTCTGTCCACCAATATATAGTGCAATTAGCCTTGCATAACCTGGATTATAGGTGTGAAGAGAATTTGGTATTTTTTATTTATTTATATACAAGAGTTCTTATATTCTTGTAAAGCCACTAGCACGCATAGCATTTTAGGTAAGCCCTTAATCCTATTTTTTCCCAGAATACAACCCATCAAATTGTTTAACAGTTTCGCGCAAATAGGCAGCAGTCTGCATCCGTAATTTGGTAACATCTATGCCCCTGGTATGCAGGTTGTCTCTAATTAAAATATTTGTTAAAATTCTAATTTTTATTTGAACATTCTGGGGATGGTTTTAAAGTGAGGGCCTTTAGATTGCGCACAATTTGATAACATAATGAACAACGTAACATGATGTCGGGTGTTGCGGGTGTGCCAATGAGTGTACTCAAATGGTTAACTCTTGGCCGACTTTCGGCGTTGTTGCGGTGGGGCGCGCAAAGATTTTGGACTTTATATGCAAATGTCCCTGTACGAAATTCTATTGCAAACACATTGACACCAAAATGAATGATGTAGCATGAGAATTGAGGTGAGAAAACTGAAAAGACAATACACATTTTATCGCTATTTCGCTCTCACAGCTAACGATTGCCGATTTTTATGTTTGGTGTGGGTGGCATGCTGGGCTTTTGGACACTATTTGCATATACTCCAGCAACTCGTTCTCGCAAATTTAATAAGTCAGTATTGACTTATTAAATATGTGCATAGGTGACATACTTAACATAATAGATACCCTTAAAAAGATTCATAGAAAACACCGGCCTTACCTAACCTACTTAGTATGTTAAGATAAGCATCTTATTGCTTCGTAATTACAATTATTACCTAACCTATAATAGGTACAGGTTAAGTAATAATTGTAATTACGAAGCAATAAGATGCTTATCTTAAGATACTAACAAGGTTAGGTAAGGTCGGTGTTTTCTATGAATCTTTTTAAGGGTATCTATTATGTTTAGTATATCACCTATGCACGTAGTTAATAAGTCAATATTGACTTTACGAATTTGCGAGAACGGGTTGACTCCAGAGGGGAATTCTATTGCAAACAATTTGATACCAAAATGAAACACGTACAATGAAAATAGAGGCGAGAAAATGGAAGAGAGTATAGACATTTCAGTGTCGTCGCACACTTGCCGGAAACACCAGAGGCATTAGGGGAAAGTCAGCAGGTTATCTTGAGGTTATCTTGAGATGATTTCGGGGCTTTAGTGTCCCCGTGTCCCGGTCCTCGACCAGGCCTCCACCCCCAGGAAGCAGCTAGTCAGCAGACAGCTGACTAACACCCAGGTACCTATTTTACTGCTAGGTAACAGGGGCATAGGGTGAAAGAAACTCTGCCCATTGTTTCTCTCTGGTGCCCGGGATCGAACCCGGGACCACAGGATCACAAGTCCAGCGTGCTGTCTGCTCGGCCGACGGTGCCCACGGGCGCCGACAGGGCTCACGGGCGGTGTACGAAAGTGTCAATAAGGTCAAGGTAACGACCTGCTACAGCTTTACTTGGGCGAGTCTTTTCAGCAAAACTTTGCAGTTCTTCCCATACTTCACACATTTTCTTAATGACCAAGGGACATCCTCTACTCAACTATTTTCTTAAGTTGAACCTTACTACTGACTTTTGGGACCCATGGCATATATAATAATTACTCATGTTCAAAAACAAAAAAGCACAAAAACAATTAAATTCCTTACAAAGATTTCAAGCGCGTTTGTCACTAAGCGCGGTTGCCTGTGCCACCAGGAACCACACACTCGGTTGACCCATACATGTATCAACAAAGTTGCAAATAGAGGAAAAGGTCATAACCCGATTTCTGATGAAATTGGAGTAGAAACCAAAAATATTCTTAGTAGGGGCATTTGTAAGTCGAGGTTCCATGTATACTGGGAATCCATTTCTTCACAAAGTGCACCAAATATTTGGGAATTGAGCGCTTTGTGTCGAAATTCATTTATAATTTAAATAACATCAGATAATACTTTGTATAGTTCTGGGGACATTTTTCACCACAAGTTGCTCACAATGTATAATGCCGTGTGTAGACAAAATATCTGGGTGACCAACATTATTTACCTTTGCAACAATTCCTGAAAGATGTCATGTTTACATCACCATCTGTACATTTCCCAGTAAATTTTTTCCATTCAATTCCATGTTCCAGGAAATAACTATTAAGTGCTTTAAAAATCTAAAAACTAGTTCTACCCGCCATGTTGAGTAAACAAAGGAGTTCTTCCTGTAACTCTCCTACACACAACCCTCACAAAACAAAGGAGAAGTACCTCGTTACTTATGTCCGTTGATTCGTCAAGTTGAATTGAATAAAATTGTAAATTTTTCCCCATTTTTATAACTTTATTTTCAATAACTTCAGCCATGTCTGCAATTGTGATTGACAGCATTAATGGACATAGGAATTACTTTCAGTTTCTGGACAGCTTTCCCAAAACCTTTTCACAGGCTTGTAATATTCAAGGCTTAATTAATTCTTCTCCAATCATATACGCCTTTTTATTTTTCGCAATCTGAAGTGCTATAAGATAAGAAGCCTTTAATTAATAAGGACTTATCTCCAACGATCATTTTTGTTGGAGAAATTACTTGCTTTGCATATTTTCATGCAGTTTTTGAAAATATTTATCTGGGCATTTTGATTGAAAGTGTCTTTCGAATTCCAAAGGTAACACGGCATCATTAAACCCCTGGTTTAATGATGCCGTGTTCTTGGGTTGTTCTTGGGTTCTTGAAAATGTCAGACATTTTGTCTACACACGGCATTATACATTGTGAGCAACTTGTGGTGAAAAATGTCCCCAGAACTACACAAAGTATTATCTGATGTTATTTAAATTAAAGTAAATTAACTTTTATACAAAATTTATACAACAATTAATCATCTTACAACCGAGTGACAACCCAAGAACTCTTTGGACACTTTCATCGTTAATATCCAGAGTACTGTAATTATTCCCTGTACTGTACTATCTTTGCTTCCTTTATGTAAGAAATGGAGCTGGTGGAGTGCAAATACTTTCAACCTTTTGCACACATCACACAATACAATAAGTACCAAAAGGAACAAACACATTAAAGTTGCAAAGCTTACATTCTACAGTTTTAATCAAACCTAAAACAAACTGAAATCACTAATTCTCAAAAGGAAACAATCATCTTGCCAACTATCTAGTGGAATTATTTAACCTCTTGGCAAAAAGAATCGATTACACAGTACAGGGTATCATTAAGGTAGTCCAAGAATGCATTTAAAAATTTAAGGCAAATCAGTGCTTTATTTTATCAACAAATTCAAGTTAAAATTACTCTGACCTACTTCCTTACCTGTTATGGTCTGGACCAATTGCACTGTACTTGTAATCGGCCTTAATCTTGTTTGTCTGAAGAAACATGTGTAGACGTGATTTTGCATTTTCAACTGTCCAATTACCGTGGATATTTGCAGTAAGATCAACATCTTCAGCCTGGAAAAAAAAATTCTTGCTGAAAAGTTTGAATGATGAAATCCAGTGTGAGGAGTGGCACACTTTCACAACAATCATAGGACATAGGAATCACTCTAGGACATCATAGTAAAGATAATTCATAGCAACGCCAGTCAATTAACATGAAGTAAAATTCAAATTACATTACATCACTCCTCTAAAAAACCAGCATTGAATGTTATGAAATGTGATTTTCTGGGTGAGCCCCAGAGGCTCCCTGAAGCTATCCTAATTGATATGTGCAATATTAGTTTGGGGTCATCAGTCACAGAAGTCCTTTTGCCTACCAGGGACCATGAGCCAGAACTTGGCCCCCCTCAGAGACGCAGGGAGCAATGGCCAATGGGCACTTTCCATTTAAAGTACATGTATGTCATAATTGCCATCAACTGGGGAAGGACCCAGAAAAGTAAGCAAATAAAAATGGACCACTGTCTGGTTAACCTGTGCAATCTACCTCCAAAAAGATAAAAATTAACACCTCTAGAAAGAAAAACCAAACAAGCAATTCTTCATACGACTACCACTTCGGCTCCTTAGCGTTACAACCCTCCTGTATGGGGTGGAGGGGGGAGCCGGCAGCCCACCACCCCAGTTCTTGAACGATGAAAAGCCGCCGACAGGATGAAGGGAGGGAGGGTGTAAGGGAGCCTCCGAGGGTCACCCAGAAAATGGCGTTTCATTACATTCAACCATGTTTTTCTGTGGGGAGCCCCATTGGCTCCCTGAAGCTAACTACCCAAAGATAAGTAAAAGGAAGGACGGCCACAACAAGTGCCCCAAAGCCACACACAGCCGGGAAGGAACAAGAATGTTCGCTAGATACCTGGCAGCTAGGAACCTGTTCGACCTTGAAAACCCCCATGCCCAAATGTCTACCAAAGACAAGGTACCAAAAACTGCTGCAAGATCATCATACTTCTAAACGTCATGTGTGAGGGTAGACTGCAGGCTGGCTGTAAGTGATGACACTGCGGACATCTTGAGACACACAGGCCCTGAAACAGGTAATCAGGGAAACCAGATCCATGACAAACAACCAGGGAAATCAGATCCACCCAAAGAGTGTCCACCGTCACAGAACCAGTGGGTCACAGGTAGCAGCGAAAAGCTGCCACCGGACACAACATGCGATGCACCCCCGGCATAACCCACTAAGCATCCACAACCAACAGACCCCTCTGGAAGTCCACAGTCTCAATAAAGAACTGTTGTTTGGTTTTCTTTCTAGAGGAGTTACTTTTATCCTTTTGGAGACTGATTGCACAGGTTAACCCAAACTAGTCCATTGTGATTCGCCTACCTTTCTGGCTCCTTTCCCGGTCAATGGCAATTATGACATACGTACTTTAAATGTAAAGTGCTCATAGGCCATTGCTCCCTGTGCTTCTCTGATGGGGCCAGGTTATGGCTTGTGGTCGCTGATAGGCAAAAGAACTCCTATGACTGATGATCCTAAACTAATATAGCACCCAACAGTTTGGATAGCTTCAGGGAGCTGACAGGGCTTCCCACAGTAAGCCCCACACGACTTGTGTGAGCATAAATTAGGCCAGTCGACAAGTCAACATTTGCAATGGAAAAGGTATACTCTAGACCCTTATTAGTGAATGCAGCTTTAATGTTACTCTTCTCTAGTGGGCTGGTTTGAGTCTGGCCTGGGAAGGATGCATGAGGGAAGAGGGTAGGTGGTAGCTTCAGTTGTCCCTCAAGTCTATTCCAGTATCAATTGGTGTATTTGAAGTAAATAAGTAATTATCAAAAGAAGGCACCAAGCCAGGGAAGCTATGTAGCACTGTCAAAAGTGGGTGTATTCAAAAAGCTCTATTTATCACTAAGATGACAATACGAGAACAAAAGCACACAGGGCAAACAACATTTTGTTAGGCCAAAGCTAGAATATGCAGCGGTTGTGTGGTGCCCATATCTTAAGAAGCACATCAACAAACTGGAAAAGGTGCAAAGACATGCTACTAAGTGGCTCCCAGAACTGAAGAGCAAGAGCTACGAGGAGAGGTTAGAGGCATTAAATATGCCAAAACTAGAAGACAGAAGAAAAAAGAGGTTATATGATTACTACATACAAAATAGTAACAGGAATTGATAAAATCGATAGGGAAGATTTCCTGAGACCTGGAACTTTAAGAACAAGAGGTCAGATTTAAACTAGCTAAACACAGATGCCGAAGAAATATAAAAAAATTCACTCTTGCAAACAGAGTGGTAGACGGTTGAAACAAGTTAGGTGAGAAGGTGGTGGAGGCTAAGACCATCAGTAGTTTCAAAGCGTTATATGACGAATGCTGGGAAGATGGGACACCACGAGCGTAGCTCTCATCCTGTAACTACACTTAGGTAATTACATCAAAGGCATCTGATTCACCAAGGTTACTCTCGAGGGACAGGTGACCACGAGAAACAGTCGGGAAGCAAGATGCACACACTTCCTGGAAGTCAGGACATTCAACAAGGATATGCACGACCGTAAGAGGGACAATGCAATTCGGACAATAAGGAGCATGTCGGCACTCCATTAAGTGCCCGTGAGTTAAATGGGTATGGCCAATAACATAACCTCACCAGAGCCATTTCCTCACTAACGGTTACGGTGGTAGGAGGAAGGCCATGGGGACACACTACCCTTAAGAGCACGTGGCTTGTTACCAGTAACAAGACCAGCGATCCTGCCAACGGGTATGGATCGAGGAATGAATAACAGGGTAAATGTCAAAATAAGGAACACCTTTGCGGGAAATGGGCAAAGTGTAGATAGCCTCCTTCGAGGCAGCATCCGCACGCTCATTTAAGGAAACACCAATATGGCTGGGAACCCAGCAAAACTCGATTCTTAAATCTGCAAGAGATAAGAAACAGCCAATATTGAATTTCGACGACCACAGGATTAAAAGACTGCAGAGCCATGAGGGCACTGCGAGAGTCAACTACAACAATAAAGAAAGAATTACGACGAGAAAACAGTTGACGAAGAGCAAACAAAACTGCATAAAGTTCAGCTGTGAAGATGCTAGTCTCCGGAGGCAGGCAACACATATAGGTGCAGTCAGGAAACACAACCGGTTAGCCTACACTGTTAGTATAAAGAAAACTAAGCAAGGAAAAGGCATTTCAGAACTGTAGAAGGGGTAAAAGCCTTAGTCATGCAGGTCAAGGTTCTACAAAACTTAAGAAGAGGGACCCTCCATGCGGGCAATGACGGAATGACACAAGGAGAAACATTGACAACATGAACCTAGGGAGAACCTTGCAATTGAGACAACCGAACAGAAAGAGGAAGGTGGTGAAAGGGAACAGAGCCCACAGGAAGGGTAATGGTCCAAGTACAACATAAGCGAGAGTGAGGGTGTTGTAAAGACCGCGTAAAGAAGCGAAGACAGTATGGATCACGGCAATCCTGTAGACAGGATGCCGGTCTCAACATACAGGCTCTGGGTAGGGGCCAACAAAAGGCACCAGAGCTAAGACAGAGCCTAGTATGGTGAAGAGCATCAAGACGACGACGGGTGGAAGTCGACCTGCTTCAGAGTAAAGGTCAAAGCACAAGTCTTGGCCAGAGAGAACTTGAAGCCATGATTGGTGGCCCAGGACGACGCTGCTTAAATCAAAGTTGAAGCCGCCGTTGGAGGAAAGGCGAGTCATCACCTGGACAGCAGAGGGCAACCGGAAAAAGAGTAGTGCTTAGAACACTACGTTGGGGCACACAATATTGCCAAAATAAGTCAGAAAGTGGTACCAAGCCGCACTCAAAAGGAATGACTAGAGGGGAAGCTCAGGAGGAAGAGAGGGAGATTACAACAAAGACCAAAAGAACGGAGTTGGGACAGACTACAGTATTGCCAGGTGGTGTCAGACTTTTCCAGGTCAAAAAGGACAACAACAATGGAGGTCTTCACAGTAAAAGCAGTATGAATATAGACCTCCAAATTCACGAGGACATCAGTCATGCTGCAACACTTGCGAAAGCCAAATTGAGAAGGAGAGAGGTGGTGATAGTGTTCCACCAACAGCGGGACCAAGCGAGAGGCAACAGAGCAAGCTGCTCCCCCAGCGCCCAGTCAACAGAGAAGGGAACAGAACCCCTTCCGAAAGAAAAAGTACACTACCAAAGTCATGAGGAGAGACTACGGGAATGAAACCACACTTCGCTGGAAGATGAAGTGAGGGGAGACCTGATCACCACATTCAAGATACCCAAGGGAATCGACAGGGATGATAAGGACAGGCTATGGAACACAAGGGGCACACGCACTAGGGGACACAGGTGGAAACTGAGTACCCAAAAGAGCCACAGATAGAATTATTTTTTTTTTTTTTTTTTTTGAGTGTCAGAATGGGAACGGGAAAGCACTAGGAAGTAATGTGGTGACTCCACACACAAGTAACGAGGCTGACCCCCATACAATGTCACATGTAGACATGATAGAGCCCAAGAGGCACAGGAACCTATACACCTGTTGATAGACGGTTGAGAGGCAGGACCAAGGAGCCAGAGCTCTACCCCCACAAGCACAACTAGGTGAGGACATATATTGTAAAAGCACAAGTCACCGACTAGTGGGCAGAGAGCACTACGCCGGCCAGGCAAAGAAGGCACAAAACTGCATCAAAAGGCCCACCTCGACAGCAAAACCGCAAAGTCCCAGCACAACCACAACATGTGCCAAGACCCAAAAAGATCAGTCTGCAAGCCAGGAAGACCCCGGAACCCCAAAAGGCAGAACCGGGTCACACGAGGAAACAAAGTCCCCTGAACCCACAAAAGGGGGCCCAAGAGGAAAAAACCTCCAGAACGAAACCAAGGAACCCAAAGGAACCCAGAATCGAACCAGGGGGAGCCCAAACCACCACATTTGCCGGCGGAGAACACCACTGAAAGGCAAAGCACAGCCCCCAGCAGAACGCCCTGGGAAAACGGTCCCAACAGACCGAAAACCGAGGGGCAAGGTGTGGGAGCAAGCATACCAGCCAGGGGCACTGAGCCTAAACCCATAGGCTCAGACCCAAAATCAACACCCAAACGTTCCCAGAGGAACAGGCAACAGCAAGAAAACACCAGAAAAACAAAGAAACGACAACAGAACAAAAACCCTGAAAAAAAATTGAAAACTCACCAGAGACGCTCGCTCGCACACCCAGACGCATGTAAACAAACAGCAACGCCGCCCTGGTGGCCACGCCGGGAAACCGGCAGACGAAAATGGCCGCCAGCAGGGGCTGTGACTGACGCTAAATACACAAAAACACGCCAGCAAATGTGGGAAGCTAGCAGACTGGATGGGTGAAAAACGTCGCCCAACAGCAGAAAAACCTCGGAAGGGGCAAAACCGCCCCAGATATGCTAGCAGGCAACCCCCACAGCCCCGGGAACCAACAACAGAGGCCCCGGGGCAGAGCCGTCCTCCAAGCCCTCCGCCCTTAAAGAAAAGCAAGAGTCCATGGGAAAGGCAACAAGAAAGGGCCGCTGGTAAGACCCAGAAGCCTTGGCAGGAGGCAAAGGCTCAAACCTCCGTCCCAACCCGAACGGGGCAGCCCCCGAAAACCGCCCGAGTCTCTGCCGCAACTAAACCCCGCCCCGACCCCGAAACCCGCAGACGGTCCGGAGCCGGGAACATGGAGAGAAAGGGGCGAGCAGCACCTAACCAAATGGGGCAGCCACGGGGCATTCGAGTGGGAAACCAACCTAGCATGTTGCAGCAACCTAACCTAGCTTGCAACACGGATGCCGCCTGTACTCTGAACAGTAATAACATCAGGAGAGTACTGGAGAACAAGCAGAGAATCACTCGCAAGACTCCGGGTCAAGGTGTTGACCCAACAGGCAGCATGACGGAGGTAAAAATGGCGACTGTCACCCGGAGACAAGGGAACAGCAACCAACGATCCCGTACAAGACGGGTTAGAACCCGGAAGACACATTCAATGGTCCCCTGAGCCCAGACAGGGGTTTCCAGGGCCCGTAGGGTAACAACTACGGGAAGCCCGGGCAAGGTGTTGCTAACCGGTTAAGAAACCCAAACATAACAAGAGGGTAGATTATAGCACTGAAAACCCCTGAGACGTGTACAAGCACGGGGGCCTAGCAGAGGGCCGCCAAACACTACCAGTGGAACTATAACCACCATAGGCAGACCCCCACCAGGCATGAAAAATGAAAAACAAAAGAAAAACCCCGCAAAAGTACACCATCTCCAGAGGCAACAGAAACCGGCCGCCGCTTAGGTGGCAGGCTGTGCAACACCTTGACGCCCTAACCAGCACAATACCAATCCCTACCCAGGGCCAAACAAGGGCCCCAAGCCCCAGCTGGCCCCAAGGGCGAGGCAAATGCCGAGCAGCAAGAACCTCTACGGGAATGGTTCCCGAACGCCCCAGGGAAGATAACCCTGTTACGCAAGGGCAGTACTCACAGGGCGCTTAGGGAAGTCAGCCACTAAGCACATGCAGCCCCGGCACTGATGAAGTACTCCTGGCCACCGCACAACACAACACACGGCAGTGAACGCCACACAAGGCAAACACCGCCTAGGAAACTGAGGCCAGAGAAGCGTCAATCCTGGTTGACATTAGCGAACGAACTGAAGCTTGGCAGCCGGCGCAGTAGGTCCGGGGCTCCCCCCTCCCCCTCCCGGGGTGGGGAGGGCTGTGCAGACGATCGGCGCGGCAGTTAAGTGTGATGTTTGCTTGTTTGCTAGTTTCCTTGGGATTGTAGGGAGTTTTCTACCTCTCTGTTCGGTTTTTGTTGTAGTTTCTTACCATGTGGGATTTGTTTTGTTACGCCTACCTTTCTGGGTGCCTAACCCCGGTCGATGGCAGATAAGGAAAACCCCCAACCATATGGGGTTTTCCAGGGCCATTGCTCCCTGAAACCTCTCTGAAGGGGCCAGGTTCTGGCGCTGGTCCCTGGTAGGTCTGAACTCCTTAGCTAATGTCCCGGTCTAACATAACATACATTAGCCCGATAAGCTCCAGGGAGCCGTAGGGGCTCCCCACAGAAACTGTCATGAAAGAGGGCAGTGGCTCATGGGAGAGAACCATGAGAACCGTCAGTCTGTCGAGATTAGATTCAGCAACGTACCTTACCTACCTTGAGGAGAGAATTGCGTAGCAGGTGAGGATTGACAATAAAAGCATCCCCTCGCTCTTAACGTTAGGTACCATAGTTCTACTGGTGGGTGTGTGCCACCCCAAACCCCTGAGCGTCAAAACAGAAGATGCCCGAAAGAATAATCAAGAATGGCAAAAGGTCGGCGGGAAAGACAATGAGAAAGGAAAAGAGAGGGGAGGAAAAATGAAACATAAGGAAGAGGAAAAAGCCATCCAGCACAATTTGTGAAGACAGCAGCAGCTGCTTCGAAAGGAAAGAGGACTGCTCCATGGGGCATCACACCCCGGCAGCCACCCACCAAGCCTCCTCACGGCAACTATGTGCTGGAAAGGGAGGGGAGAGGAGAGGGGTGTATGTGAAGTCATTCATGCCTAATCCAGTAGTAAGAGGTGTATTCAAAGCCATTCATGCCTGTTCTATTGGATGGATGCATTGATAGGCTGGTCTGACCCCCTGTATTGTTGTCTTTTACATTGTTGCCTAGATTGTCAGTTCTTTTTATGCATTGTTTATACTATTTCCTGGTCTCCATTCATTACATTTAAACACTTTACCCCCTGAATTCATTTGCTTCCTCTATGTCCTCATATGTCTCTCCATTTCCTAATTGTACATTTTCTATTAGAAATTTCATTGGAGTACTATTCTTATAAATAAAATGCATTTCTATCTATTTTGAAACCTTGTTAGTCTAAAGTAATGTTTTATTTACCTAGAATCAAACTATCCAAAATTCTAGGACACCTTTTGTAACACCTTACCAGTTCTCATCCCCCTCCCCTTCTCCGATTCTGGTAGATTACAAATTACCACATTTCCTCAGCTTCAGCATTTCATCACTGCTGGGTTCTTACAGCATATTACAGTTTATCATTATCTGAAACAAACTGAAGTGCTCTCTTTGAGCCTGTGACTACTTTAATAAATGTTTTGAAGTTCTCTGTCTCTCTTAAATCATCATTCCTTAAGGTTTAGTCTTTTACATTGTTGCCTAAATTGTCAGTTCTTTTTATGCACTGTTTGTATTATTTCCTGGTCTCCATTCATTGCCCATAAGGGGCCCCTGACAGCTGAGTGGACAGCGCTTCGGATTCGTAGTCCTGAGGTTCCGGGTTCGATCCCCGGTGGAGGTGAAAACAAATGGACCGGGTCACGGGGACGCTAAGCCCCGAAATCATCTCAAGATAACCTCCTGTGCGAAAGTGACACCTGCTGTGTTATGTCATGTACATGTGTATATACTGTGTAGTTAAGAAGTATACTTGGGGATGGTTCTGTTTAGTGTTGTTTAACCCCCACTTTTCCTTTAGATTGATTATTACTGCAGTTCTTAATAACTTGCCTATAACTCAAGGTGGGATCAAGAAAGAAGTCACTAAGGCCCCATATATAGTTTAATAAGTAAAGAACCCAGTTACTAGCTAAGTAAGGCCATGAAACACTTTCTTTCATATTTCCATCTTGCAAATGCCATTTTAGCAATTGCAATTTTTACTATAATTCAAGTTTCTCATAGATGCAAGTCACATCCTAATAACTTCCATAACAAATATTTTACAGTCTTTTAAAAATTGTTCTAGTTTATTTACCCCTTCCATCAAACTCCTCATAGTCAGGAAGATTTTATATTAAGTTAGAAAGCAGTTGCAGTAGGCACCAATTCTCAAAATTTTTAATAAATAAAGTTTCACCCAAAAACTTTAAGTGCTAAAATATTAATCGATATTTAAATGCCAAGCATTACCTCTTCTATAGCTTTTCGTTCCTGTATGCGTTCCATGTATGTCATATGTCTACCTTCCCTCTGAATTGGACGGTAAACATTTCCTTCATCTCGAAGACCCGGGACAGGAGCCATTGGTGCAGAAAGTTGGTACTCTCCATTACCTTCAAGTTGTTTATTATCATCGCCATCACCACCACCCCCACCACCACCGCCGCCGCCGCCATCAGGTGTCTGAAAAAATATATATTGTACAATAAAACTGTACTGGCAAATTCTTTTTAATACAAATATTTCTGGTAAATTGCAAGCCACAAATGAAGTATAAAGCAATGTTGTATAGGGGCATAAAATAAGCTCTGCGGTGTTCCAGGAAATACAGCCCTGATATTTTAAAGCTCATATTTTTAAATACAAGTTTCATTTGTTAAATTTAATGTTTGCATATTGAAACCCTAACATAGGTAAAAAGTTCACTTGTAAGGGCATTTGGGAAAATGAAACAGTCAAAAAGCTACCCCCCCCCAATATTATGAAGCCTTTTGACTGTGTGCTTATTTTAACTACCCCCAATATTTACATGGCATTCTACTTACCTCAATCTGACTTCACACTATTTTAACAACAGAACATGTTTGGTAATTTATGTTTATTGCAGTACTTTCTTTGTATAGTACAGCACAAGTCATACAGCAGATTACAGCTACACATATTCACTCGTTTTAAGAGGAAAAAAATATAAAATGCTTTAACCACTTAACTGCACCAACCGAGAATCAAGTAATCTCGGTCGGCGGGAAACTGTCAACCGAGAAAACTTTTTGATTCTTCAGTACCCATTCTAAATGTGTACGAGGTTGGTTGTGTACGAAATGGACTCTTAGGACCTCCAGTGAAGAGACAGCCAATCTTGGAAAAAATTCCCAGAATGCCCTAGGGCTGCTGGCTGGGTTAGTACTGAGTGAACAACCATGAGCGGCACACGCGCCTATGTCTCCCAAATACTTGTTCGACACAGTGCTGAAAGAACACACTGTTGGTGAAATTCAAACCTTACTGTTTGAAGAACATAAGAGTCATAATATTGGGAAAGCTAGGCGCAATAAGGACCTAACACAAAGGTCGGATGCAAGTGATACAGCACCTATGAGGACGATACAGCGAGCATATCCAGTTGTAGCTCTGAGCGTCACCCTTGCAATCCTATGCTATCTCCAATTTATTTAGATGATACATAGATGAATCGTTTTCTGCATTCAGTGATGATGCATCTAATACAAGTAGCATAGATGAACAGTGTTAGTGGCTTCCATGGTGGGGTTTTCCATCGATATTTTCAAGAATTCCCGAATCTCTTCCTGACTGATGGACACTCTTTGAGGCTAGCTGAATCTCTTTCCAACTGACGGACACTCTTTGAGGCAAGCTGAATTTCTTCCTGTGTGGGACGATACAAAGCGATCTTTTTAAGACTACCTTACAAATTGATCTTTTCCTATAATCTTTTCAATACTACCTTATGCTCTACAAGCTTGGCTACATACAACCTACAAGTACTAAAGCCAAGGGTGTACATGAGTGCATTATTTGCAAGCACACAGAATGAAGAAACAGGAAGCGAAAACTTATCTGTACCTGGTGCTACGAGAGCCAAGTCGCTCTGTGCACCACGGACTACTTTGTTGATTATTACTCACTTCCGAAGTACTGAGTGTGTAATACAGTGTGTTACTGTGTAAATAGTGTGTGAAACTGTACATATTGTAATTTTAGTGAATTTTTAACAACTAATATTGTGACAATAAACATTTATTGTGGACACATTACTGACACATGTATCACAGTTCCATGGAACATTATGAACGTTCTACTGTACATATATTGTAAAGGACACAAATATGCATCATATACGATAAAAAATACAAATAAAACCGCATTGAAAATACATAGAATAAATAATTGAAAATATATTTGTGGCAACACCCAGTGCTTGAATGGCCTGTGCAACCATGTCTGGGCGATTCATGCACGGGCAACCAGGCCCTGATGACATCACAGCGCACCTTGTCCATGTCCTCACAGCCAAAGTATGTGGGATTTATTATTTATTTTTACATAGACATGTTCAGGGAAGGAAATTTATCATTTTACACAGAAAAAAGAATTTTTGGGGAACACTTTATTTCAAGCGCACAGGGGGAATTTCACAATAAACACAGAGCAGCACAATGGTAAAAAACAGTGAAGGATAATTCACTCCACTTTTATTTCAAATTCTTCAAATCTTTATGACTCAAATAGTATTTGTCAGGCATTACTCCCATTTAAAACCATGCTGACCACTAAAAATTTATCCTCTGGGTGCTCCACCATTTTCTTATTACTGTACTTAATTCAGAACTTTGCCAAGAATGCATGATAGTAATTCTAGTCTATAGTTTAGTGCCTGTCTATCCATTTTCCTGAATGTTAGGACAGCATTTCCTCTTTTTAGATTTCCAGGAGCTTTCTATTGAAGTATTATTAATAAGTCTAGTTAGCAGACAACACTAGGTCCCTTATATGATAGTTTCAAAGTACATTCTCATGAAATGAATGTTTCTAGGAGGCTTCAGATGAGCTGAGGTGGAATAACAGCTCTTGCTTACAGTTTCACTAGGTACGTCATTTGACAGCCCTTATGAACCGCAGTCTTAGTTAAAAAAAAAAAAATTACCTCTGCAGCTTTCTCAGCAGCCATGGCAATGCATCTTCTGGCCCTTCTGTTTTTGATGTTATATGGGTCTCTACCTCATCAGTGGCTACTTCACTATACTGTATTGTCTAAGGATGCTTTTGGTCATGTCATCATCTAGCTTGCCATTCTAGACCCGTTTTGTAAATTTAATGGAACACCTCTCATTTTTTGCATACCTTTACAATTTATTTGTTAGAACTTCCCCATTTCACCTTAAGTCAATCACAAGGTCTTTTATAATAATTTTCCTTGTTTGACTATGAAGCAGCTTGCCTGGTCTTTGGGTGCCAGGTAATTTTCAAATTGCTTTACTGCAGCTCTTCTAATTTGTGTGTTTAGTTCTGGCATTCTTAGCTCTTTCCTGTCAACCTCCACACTACTTTGTATTTCTTTCATGCCTTTCTGGGTCTGATTTTTGCTTCTATGAACTATCTGAAGCACCATTTTTTGTGTATCCCATCAATTTCCTTAATGAATATGACTAACATTTATGGAACTTGCTTCTGTTACTTGATCATCTCAATTGGGTTTCCCTCTCAATCATTTTCCAATAGGTCTTCTTACAGGTAGCCTCTTTCCCTACTGAAGTCTTCTCTATCATAGTTTCATGTAGTCTCACAGACTTTTGATTAATTCTTGACTTGTCTAATTCTTCAGGTAAACACAACGTATCCTTACCAAAGAGCATGTGTTTCCCAAAATCTAATATCAGGGATAAATGCTACCCTAAATCTATAATGCATATTATAAAGTAATTGCAAAAAATTATAAAACATGAAATATATACTATCAGTAATTTAAAAGTACTGTATTCCAACATATAAATACAGTACATTCTTTGTCTGCCATGACATACATGTCATGCCTGAGATTTTTGGCATAACACACCTGAACTGACAGGGGGGGGAGAACTCCTCTAACCCCCCTTTATCTTGACCCCAGACACAAACACACACACACTTAAAAATGTATGTCTTTAGTGGTCTGGGGACATTTTACTTTATAAATGAGGTATTACCACTCTTAGTTCCTAATAAACATGCTTGCACATTTAATAAAGCAAAATCATGACTGGAAAGGTACAATAAACTCACACAGTATATGTATTTGTGGAGTTCCAACATATAAAAATTGAGTTTATTTCAAAATATAATTCTTCTACAAATATAATCCCACTGTGTTGCTAGCATATTGAGCTCTTTTCAGTCAAATTAACACTTTCGCGCTCTCGGCGCTCAAAAAAAAAAAATACCCCAGATGCTTTCGGCACTTCGCGCGCCTACGCGGTAAGACCGAAAAAGTGTACACTCTTTTGACTGTCCTGACAATAATTGAAGGCGCATGTATTTAAATTTGGTATCACTGTGTTCGCAATGAAATTGTCTATAAGAGCATACCTATAAAATGCCGCCCAAGCATAAGGAGTATCAACACCAAATAAAAAACTATGCAGATCACTCGCCGAGAGCGCCAAACAGCAACAAAATGTTTCCACTCTCTTAATGGTTGCGAAGCCTACAGTTGTCCTACATCGCTAATTTTGGTATCATTGGAATCGCAATAAAATTCTCTACACGGACATATGCATATGAATGTTTAATATAGGTAATTGCCCACCCGCAAGAGTGTGTGAAGTGGAGAGTAGTTAGCCGTGAGCGCACTGGCGAAAACACAGGTGGGAAATCATGCTTGGAAAGTTTACACGTTTCCTGACCCTACTTTTCTATGTACGTACTTCTTTTTTATACCAATGTGTTCGCAATAAAATTTTCTATAAGATGAACTGTATAACATTTGTACAAAGCATGTGTAAGAGAAGTGCCAAATATAGAACCACGTCGCTCAGTATGCGTTCGCGGCAGAAACGAACGCATTGTTTTCGTTCGTTTGATGTTTGTCATGTTTATACTTGTTGAAACATTTTATAATTTGTATGACAGTGATCGCAGTAAAATTCCCTACACAGACATATACATAACACATACAAATATTTCCCACGTGTTGGATATATCAATGGCTAAAGGGAACCCACTGCCACACGCTCGCCACACCCCCAAACATACTTTGTGTATTTTTTTTTTTACTCATAGAAGTTTATGTGATATAATATTCATTCTGGTACCAAAAAATTCGCAAATAAATTCTCTACAAAACAAAAGTATCCCCATCCATTTCGGTTAAAAAATGGAATTTATAGAAATATTTTTTCGATTGACGAGAAAAGTAGGCAGCTATGCGGAATCGTAAGAAAAACCAGTGACGAGTTATCTCTAATCGAAAGCGCGAAAGTGTTAAATGTCATTGAAACAATTAAAAAAATTAATTAGAATATGTTTACATAACAATCAACATTCCTGGTAAATTTAATGGTTTTCATCATCACTATACATCATTAATCTAATGCTGCATTAATATGTAGCCGATATCCACATTCTCTTACAACATTTTGGCCATCAACTGAACTACAGCTATGAATGCATATAATTAACCCTGTATAGTATGACAAAGTTAAGAAACCTTCTTTAACCACTGCACTGCACACTTTTTTCTCAAAAACTTCATAGTGCAATTGTTAAGGACATTTTTGTTGTTTTTATAAATGTTCAGGTAAAGTTAATGTCAAAATATTTCCAAACTAAAAAAAAAGTTAACTCTCTGCGTGCCTTAAGGTGCCCTGTGCATTTTATTGGTTAAAAGTGGCAAATTTCCTTAATCATCATTAAACAAAGCTCTTCCATGTCTGTAGTATGCTTTTACAAGGCCACCACCATATGAGTTATTATATAATTGTAAACAAATCATGTAGGAAAAATGCCATATGACAATAAGCAATCCCACAGTAAAAAATCTTGACATAAGGAACCACAAATTGAGCAAAACTTAATAAAAATTTTACCTGTAAATCTTTAATTTCTTCTGCAGGAACCTCTCCTTGGCGGATGAGGAACTGTACAAAATCTTTGGCAGCATTGGACTGGGAATCCTTCTTACTTGTTGAATTGCCAACACCAATATAGTTGTATCCAGGGACACGCACTTCACATAAGAACCGTTGGCGATGCTTAGGACCTAAATAAAAAACATATAAATATAATTGTGGAAAAAGTAGGAAGAATACATCAGTACAAAATGCAGAGATGATGAATGCTCTCAAAAACTTATTCACAAAATATTAACCTTCTTTCATGCAAAACATTACTAAGAAGTGCTTGTTCACTGTCCTGTACTTCAAGGAACTGTATTTTAAAGTTTATAAAAAACAAAAATATAAAATATAGGTGGTTCCAAATCACGACAAAATTATTAAGAGCAACAAAAGCAACAAAGTACAAAAGTACACCAACAATTTCAAAATACTGAATTATATTATGATTGTCTGCCATGACATACATGTCATGCCTGAGATTTATGGCATAACACACCTGAACTGGCAGGGGGGAGGACTCCTCTAACCCCTTTATCTTGACCCCAGACACACACACACACACTTTACAATATCAGTGACTTTTGTGGTCTGGGGACAACAAAAATATAAAATATAATATAAATAAATAAATAAATAAATAAATAAATAAATAAATAAATAATACACACACACACACTGTATTATATCATATATTGGATTTCACTATTACGGGTAAGTTCTAATTGGTAACTTAACTAAGACTTTGGGTTGGATCTGGGAAGAGGCAATAAGGACCGATAGAAAGTTTTGAATGAAAAGAACTCGGTTACTGGCTAAATGAGGCTGTAACATCTACTTATTTTGTAGCAGTGATCTATTAATGATTTAAAGGAAACCTAAATGATCAAAATCCATTATAATCTTTACCTGAATTTCTGACTTCATAATTGGGAGTAATCTTTTTTTTCCCACAAAATGCATAAAGCCATGACTTGACGTTCTCAGCCATCTTGACTCAATCTGCAATGAAGATGTCAAATTACACAGATTGTCAAAGGCAGCAAAATACAGTACTACACACACACAGTTATGGAATGTGGAAGCGGAGAAAATAGACCACACACTACTTTTAAATTATGTGAAAAGAAATTACAGATATCTAATAAAGAACGAGACTTGGGAGAGGTTTTGGACATTAACCCTTAACACTTTCCCGCATTGGGCGAGCGAGCGATCGCCCACCCCAAGGTGGGCCAGGCATTTCAAAGAAGCGCGCGGTAATACTGAAAAGTGTATACTCTCTTTAAATTTTGTCACATCAATTCTCATCCTAGGTTTTTCATTTTGGTATCAATGTGTTCGCAACAGAATTACCTACAGAAATATATGCACAAAATCCAAAAGCCCAGCGTACTGCCCGCAACAAATTGAGAAATTGATTGTGCATTACCCCGTAAGAGTGCAAAAGCAATAAAATGTGTATACTACTTTCACTTTGGTCACCTCAATTGTCATCCTAGGTCTTTCATTTTCATATCAATGTGTTGGCAATAGAATTCCCTACGGGAGTATACACATAATGTCCAAAACTGTGACGTGCTCCACCCGGAGCTAAGCCAAAAGCAGGCGATGTGTTACCTGTGAGCGTACACCCATTGACCCACTCAGTACATGCCCATACACCATACTGCGTCATTCCCACACATTTGTCTAATAAATTTTTGATGCCATACTGCATCATCCCGCGAACGAAAGTGTAAGCTGCGCAAAACGTCATTTGAAGTCTGACATCGAGCTCATTTTTAAAATTTGCTGAAACGTTTTCAAATGTTTTGTGCATAATCTATTAGGCAAATGCTCCAACTTTGTCTAAATGATACCAACGTAACTTGAAAAACAAGAAAAAAACTAATTATAAAATTGAATATTGAAAACTTCATGTTTTGAAATCAGCTTCAAAAATATAAAATATCACCAAGTGTTCATTTGGTGTTATTATGTTCTCAGAATAGCATATGATCTTCATTTTCATATATTTAGAATACTGTATAGATTTTCAGTATAGTTTACTGTAAAAAAAAAAAAAAACCAGCGTTGAATGTAATGAAACGCCATTTTCTGGGTGAGTCCTGGAGGCTCCCCGGAGCTTACTAGGCTGATATGCTAATGTCAGACTTTGGCATCAGTCATGTGTATGGAGTTCTTACGGGCCTACCGGGGACCACGAGCCAGAACCTGGCCCCTCTAGAGAGGCAAGGGGAGCAATGGCCTATAGAAACCCCCGTGTAACCATCAACCGGGTTAGGCATCCAGAAAGGTAGGCGACCCAAAACAAACTCCTATTCTGGTGAAAATTGCAACCAAAAGCCGAACGAGTGGATAGAACTCCCCAAACAAAAACGAGCAAACTAGTATGACATCATTCGTTGTCGCGCCACTGTCTGCGCAGCCCCCCCCCCCTCCCAGGAATGGGGAAAGGGCAGCCCCAGACCTACTGCGCTGCCGATCCACGCCCCAGTTCTGAGGCTGCATGTCAAAAACACTCGAAAAAAAATGCCGACTGGAGGGAGGGAGGGATGCCGGGGAGCCTCCAGGACTCGCCCAGAAAATGGAGTTTCATTACATTCAACGCTGATTTTTTGGGGGGAGCCCCTACGGCTCCCCGGAGCTAACTACCCACAGAGGAAGAATAGGGACTTACAAGAGAGGCGGTTGCTGCTCACTCCTCAACCCAAAGTCGAGACAACTGGCTGCATCCACCGACCCAAAGCGACACAGACCCGACTGGGCCCAGGAACGTTTACAAGGTAACGAGCAGCCAGGACCCTGTTTGACCACCAAAATCCCCACGCCTGAATGTCAGCCCAGGACATATTGCCAAAGACGGCGACAAGAGCCGCAAACTTGCGGATGTCATGGGCACGGGAATAGACCGATGGCTGGCTAGCCTTAATAACCCTGCGGACAACCTGGGAGACCCGCACCCCCGAACAGTGAAGAAGGGAAACCGGATCAACCCAAAGCGCATCCACGGACACAGAAGCCGTGGCGCGCAAATAACGGCAGAGAGCCGCAACCGGACACAAAACATGATACACCCCCGGCCGAACCAACCAAGCATCAACAACCCAAGGGCCCCTCCGGAACCCAGCAGTCTCATTCTTCGCCAGAAAAGAAGGAGAAGGCTGCAGACGAACAAAACGATCACCCCAACCGAAGGAGCAGAAACCTCCTCTCAACGCCGGAGGAGAGCATGAAGCTCACCCACCCGACCCCCAGAAGCCAATGCCAACAGGAAAAGAGCCTTCGAAAAACAATCCTGAACCGAAGGGGCCACAACAAAACGAGGAGAAGATAGAAAAGAGAGCACTCTGTCCAAAGACCAGGACGACTCAGGCGGCGCATGAGCAGGCCGGAGGTGAAACAACCCCTGAGACAGCTTGCGAAACGGCACAGACATGACATCAATACCGAAAGCAAGCTGAAGCGGCTCCGCCAGCGCCGCACAATACGAGGCGACAGTGTTAGGCATAAGAAGACGGTCCTGGAACAACCAAGAGAGAAAGGACAACACCACCCTAACAGAAAGCGAAGTATAACGACGAAGATATAAGAAGAACCAGAAGGACCGCCAGGAAACTTCATACTGCCGCCGAGATGAAGGCCGCAGGTGGGAAACTAATAAGGAAGCCACCTAATCACCATAGAGATGATAAACTCGAGTCAAAAATACCATATGCGAAGATTCGAGGAGAAGATCGAACCAGCCACGTGACGTACCAGGCCAATCTGGTGGAAGAGGCGGAGCCGCAGAAAAACCTCCGGGTTCGGACACCGAGCAAGCAGCGCCTGAAACCAGGGCTGGGCCGACCATCAAGGGGCCAAGAGGACAACTTTCCCCTGGTACATCTCTAAGCATGTCAGGACCTGGAGCAACAGCTGAAACGGGGTAAAGAGGTACAGGATCCCCCACCTCGACCAGTCCTGCCGAAAGGCGTCGACCCCGACAACCTCGCAGTCGGGAAAGGGCGCCATATACAGGCGCCGCGACCACACCGACGCTAAGAGGTCCACCTTGGGGCGTCCAAACGTCTGGCAAAACCAACGGAAGGAGTCGGCGTCGACCGTCCATTCCGTGGAGGGGAACGAAATGAGACAGGCCGTCGGCCAAGACATTGGACACTCCCCTCACGTGAACTGCCAGGAGAGCCAAACCTCGAGAACTCAGCCGACAAGTCACCCGAAGCGACCAGCGCCAAAGAGCCAAGGACCACATCGAACCCCCCCCCGGTTCAGACAATGAACCACCAGGGAGCAGTCCGAATGGAGCCGGATCATCAACCAGTGTGCGACTCAAATCCTCTGAAGAGTAAACCACACCACCGCGAACTCCCGCACAGTGCTGTGGGCTCGACGGAAGGACGGACCCTACCGACCCGGCTGGCCTGGTGAGCACTGGTCACAAAGCCCTAGCTGAGAGACGACACGTCCATGAACACATCGAGCGAGAGCTCGGGTAAATTAAATTTTCAGAAAACCAGACAATAAAAATTCCAGAAAACTTTGAGCACAAAGAAGTGTCACTAAGAACAAAGCAGTTGGCCCAAATGGAGTTTCACCTTGGATTCTGAGAATGCACACCCGAGCTCAGCATGCCAATTCAACTGATTTTTAAGGCATCCCTGAGTACAAATCCTGGAAGATATGGAAAAAGGCTAACATACTTCCAATCTACAAAAGTGACAGCAGGAAAGATCCCCCCTAAATTATAGACCTGTATCATTGACAAGTGTAGTAGTCAAAATACTGGAAAAACATTATTAAAACTAAATGGGTAGAACACATGGAGTAAAATGATATGACAGACATTATGGTTTTCAATCTGGATGATCCTGCATTATGAATTTACTTAGTTTCTATGATAGAGCCAAAGAGATTTTACGGAAGAGATGGTTGGGTTGACCACATTTATCTGGACACGAAAAAAGTACTTTGACACAGTTGTTCTGAAGCTGGAACATACTTGAGTGACAGAAAGACTTCTAACATGGATGAAAATTTTCACACAGAAGATGAGTGCAGTAATCTGAGATAATGTAGTGGAGAAATGGAGTACCAGTGTTCAGTTTCAGCACCAGTCAATGATCTACCAGAAGGAATACAGAATTACTGAATATATTTGCTGATGATGCCAAGCTACTAGGGACGAAATTTTGATGACTGTCATGCCCTACAAGAAGACCTGGACAAAGTGTATGCATTAACACTTGACAAATGGAATTTTATGTAAATAAATGCCACATTATGAAATACGGAATACTGTATGAGAGAAGCCACACACCTGGATTGTACTTTGATTGTTCCTGGATCGGGTTCTGGGAGTTCTAATGCTCCCCAAGCCCAGCCTAGGGCCAGGCATGACTTGTTAGAGCTTGGTCTATTAAGCTGTTGCTTGGAGTGGCCCACAGGCCCACCACAGCTGGGTTGGTCCGGCACTTCTTAAAGAAAACTAACTAGTTTTCTCTTGAAGATGTCCATGTTTGTTCCAGCAATATTTCTTATACTTGCCAAGAGTATATTGTACAACCGTGGCCCTCTGATGTTTACACATTGTTCTCTGTGCCTCTGGCACAATATGGCACAAAGAATTTTGATAAAAAGATTTAAGATAGTTCTGGACAGAAAACTGTAACCCAAGTACCACAAAGAACAATGTGCATGGATCATATGCTATGCTTTCCAACTTTAAAATAGCGTTTAAATACATAAATAGCAAAATATTGAAGAAATTGTTCAAGCCCTTTACGAGATCAAAATTGGAATATGCAGTGGTTGTATGGTGCCCAAATCTCAAGAAGCACATCAATATATTGGAAAAGGTGGAAAGACTTGCAACTAAATGGCTTTTGGAACAAAAAAAAGTGAGAGGAGGTTAGAGGTGTTAAATAGTGTATACCCAAGAAAGAAGATACAAGACCAAGATATGATCACTACATATAATATAGTAAAAGGAAATTACCAAAATTGACAAAACAGAATTTGTAAAAACTGCAACTTTAAGAAGAGGACATAGGTTCAAACTAATGAAACAAAGGTGCCAAAAAAACAAGGCTCACTTTTGCAAACAGTGGTAGACGGTTGGAACAAGTTAAGGGAGGAGGTGGTAGATGCCCAAACTGTCAGTAGTTTCAGATCATATGAAAAATTGTTTGCACAAATTGTCTAACCAAACTTCACCTGACATGACCAATAAGTTAGGCCTCGAAAGCATATTGTACATGGCAAGTTTATGAAAAAAATATGAAATACTTCTACAAATTAGAATTTTTGGACAAAACCAATATACAAAATATCTATACTGTATACAAAACCATACCACATAACTATGCTAAGTACAAGCTGGCAGGTTGCTACACATTACTTAACTGCTAATAAAAACCTATCTTTAGTGCCACAACAGTAGTTATTAGTAGGAATAAGCTTTTACAAGACACAATCACCAGGGTGACTACAAACTAGACAATTATCTAATATTACCAAGATTTTGCTGTGAACTTCACCCACAAGTTTTAGATTTGAAATTCTAGTGAGATTCTACCACGATTCCCTTGAATGCTTTCTGGAAACAATCCTAAGGCCTGACCACAGCCTAAAACAAACGCTAAAACCAAATAGCTGTGCTTTATGAAGTTCACTCTTGACCAAATTACAACTGTAGTTACATACATAATTATGTATCACACTGTAGTGTTAACACGCTGGCATCCTGGCGTTGGTCTCCCTTATCCTCCCTCACCGCCCAGCCAGACACGCAACTCTCTCAATACCTAACCACGGCCCATAACTTGTCGGCCTTAATTGTTAAACTAGTACGTCCATAGCTAGGAAATATCTTATCCAATTTAAACAAAAAATGGTTGTTAGAACATAAAATGGATGCTAAAATTACCTGAGTCTTGACGGAAGTGCGAGCGGGCGAAGCGGGAGGCGGGTATGGCGCCGCCAGTCACAGGGTTGCCAGATACAAGTTGCTCAAAGTAGCGAGCTGCTGGTCTAAAAGTAGCGAATTTCCAATAAGAGTAGCCCAATTTTTTGTTTAGTGACTGATACGGGTTTCAAAGTAATATATTTTCTACTTAAATGTATGTACTTAATTAATGTATGTATGTACTTAATTAAAAGTACATACATAGAAGATGAGTTACAAACATAATGTTGGATTTATAGATAGAGCTAGTACATACAATGCCTAAAGCCACTAATAAAATAAAATAAAAAAGTGTTTATTTAGGTAAGGTACATACATACAAGAGATTTGACTAAGATTGACGGATTTATAGATAGAGCTAGTACATACAATGCCTAAAGCCACTATTATGCGACGTGTTTCGGGCATGAAAAATACGCATAGTGTTTCGGGTCTTCACAGTTGAAGATTATCAAGATCTTCTTTGTCTGTATCGGCAACCTCGTTCTTGTATATTGCACTCATATTTAAGCATTGACATGTGTGGTTCAAATGATGAGTAACAAGTTCCGTTTTCTTAAAGATATGTTTTGATTCTTAAGATTGATGTCAAAAGCTCAAGTCGCATTTGATTTGTCAGTTTAGTTTTTCACAGACGTTACTCTCGAAAATACCCGTTCAACCAAAGCATTACTGATTGGTAAGCTATAGATTTTAAATGCAAACTAAGCGAGGTCAATCAGTATAGGATCACCAGCCGCGTTCTTGACAGTTATTGCCTTGGTCCAAAATGACGGTCCAGATGTTGGAATTTGTCCCTCGCAAATGTTGGACCAGTCAATGGTTAACAGTAGGCGCCACTGACTTTCAATTTCACTAAGCTTAGACTGTGAGACTCATCATAGATGTAAAGTTCATCTAAAAGCTCATCATAGATGTAAAGTTCATGTAAAAGCTCACAACAGTCACTTGTATAGTGACTGTTGTGAGCCTCTTGTTGTATCACTTGTGACACACAAGATTATTGATGTGTGTATTTGCGTGGGTGATTAAATATGTATGTGTATGTATATATGTATACGTATGTATATGTACATGTATGCATGAGTATGTGTACATGTATATATAACATTAATAGCTTTGTAACTAGCGTCAAAAGATTGTTATTTGCTTAGCTAAACGAACTAGAGGGTCCAGTTCCTGAACCGATTATGTGCCTCTGTAATCCTTTACACCACCGCCCACGAGATGGGTGTGGGGTGCATAATAAAGAAAGAAATTGATTAAGCTTAGATTGGTCAGCTAGTACTAATGAAAGTTCTGAAAATGGTAGCCGTGTGTGGGTAAGGCATGTGCTATCTTGAGAGGTTATCTTGAGATGATTTCGGGGCTTTTTTAGTGTCCCCGCGGCCCGGTCCTCGACCAGGCCTCCACCCCCAGGAAGCAGCCCGTGACAGCTGACTAACACCCAGGTACCTATTTTACTGCTAGGTAACAGGGGCATAGAGTGAAAGAAACTTGCCGGCGCCCGGGATCGAACCCGGGACCACAGGATCACAAGTCCAGCGTGCTAGGGAGCCGGTCGGCTCTAGACCGGCTAGAATACGAGAAAGAAACTATTTGCAGGTTTTCACTAACAAATTATGGCATCATTCTTGAATATTTTGAAATTTTTCCTGTGTTATAAAATAGTTTTGTCTGTTAGTTGCCAGAAGTGTTGAAAATTCGTAAACAAAGTCCATTTTCTCCAGGAGCAGATATATGGAATTGTAGTCCAAATTAACCTCAAGCTTTGCATGAGGAGGATGCACGAGCCTTCTGAGCATTCCAAGAGGAAAGTTATCCAACATCGTTAGAACCTTTGAAATATCTCTGCCTGAAACAAAATATCATTGGCATATATGATCGGAGTTACCTCATTTGAGTATCTCTCAGATGCTATCTTATTCATTAGTATATTAAACAGTGTGGGACTCAACACTCCTCCCTGAGGTGTGCCGAGTTCAAAAGATCTCACACCTGACATACAACCTTGATACCACACCTGAGCCTTCCTTTCGTGAAGATAATCCCCTATCCAGCGCAATAATTTCCCTTTAGCGCCAAGACCAGCTAGTTCATATAAAATAACCTCTTTGTTGGCTTTATCAAAAGCTCCTTGTAAATCAATAAAAATTCTATAATAATCATTTTCATTAGCTAGACATTTAATAATTAATACAGTCAGAGGTACTTTTGCTTCTGAGGAACCTGAACAAATTATTAGACAGCTGATCACATCATTTTACAAAAACACGAGGTTATGTCCTTGTGGGAGTGGGAGTCCCTGTGCTACGAATGATATACCTGAGTACTGTAAGATCCCTTATTGATTGTGCTGCACCTGTCATTTCTTGTTTTGGTAAAGGTAAGATGGGCAAGTTGGAGAAGGAACAAAATGAAGCCATGAGAATTATTTTAGGATGCCCAAGAAACGCTATGATTGAGAAAATGAGGATGGAGTTGAATCTGAAGAGTATTGGGGATAGAATTTCAGAGATTAATGTAGCCTTTGCCATTAGATTAATGAGAGGTGGGGGAGCTAATGAATTAATCCTCTCAGTTCAAAAGGTGGGAAGTAATGAACAATGTACACGACCACCATTTGGTCACCACTTGGTCCGGGAGACATCTCCCGTCACGCAGGGTGGCTTCATCTTCATTTTAACACATTCACACGGGAGACATCTCCCGTCACGCTGGGTGCAGTCGCACCTCCACAGATCTCCAGTATCATCTATTGATACTGGTGATGGCTCAAAAGGGCCACCACTTACGAGCTATTCATGCCCGTGCCACCTTTTGGGTGGCTTCATCTTCATCTTAACACATTCACAAGGTAGACATCTCCCGTCACGCAGGGTGCATTCGCACCTCCACAGATCTCCAGTATCAGCTCTTGATACTGGTAATGGCTCAAAACGGCCACCACTTACGGGCTATTCATGTCCGTGCCACCTTTTGGGTGGCTTAATCTTTATCAATCATCAATCAGAACAATGTATGATAAAGAAGAGAGCATATATGAGTACCTTATACTCTAATGTTATAAAGTATGAAGTTACTACAGAATGTATTGCTCTGCCTAAGAGACAATTCACACCACCATGGGAGGATTGTAATGTAGATGTAGTAATTATTCCCCTTGCAAAAGAAAAACGTATGTATGAGATAGGAGAGCTGAGGGCAACATATGATTGTATAATTAGAAAATTACCTACAGAAAACACTCTACATGTATATTGTGATGGGTCAGTAGCTAGGGATGGGAAGGCAGGATGTGAAGTCTTGATCAGGGAGTACACTGACATCGGCACTGTAGACACTGTTATTGGACGCCGCTTAACTGACAATGTCTCTTCAACGCAGGCTGAACTCCAAAGTGTATTAGCAGGATTGCAAAAAGTAGTAAAATATCGTAAAATGCCTGCTTCTTTATTGACAGTAAAGGTTCGTTAGAGTCTTTAAATAGCAGACGCCCGGCTAGTTTACCAGAATATTGTGATAAGAGTGTAGAGAGAATGTTAAGACATTAGAAAAAGCTGGGTATAAAGTAAGATTCATGTGGACCCCTTCACATGTGGGAATACTGTTGAATGAGGTAGTTGATGAGATAGCAAAGAGAGCCACGGAAAAAACTCTTGTTGATGTTGTATGTCAGATAACCTTGAAACAAATAAAAACAAGAATCGAGATTTTTTTTTTTTTTTTTTTTTTTTTTTTTTTAGATATATACAAGAGTTGTTACATTCTTGTACAGCCACTAGTACGCGTAGCGTTTCGGGCAAGTCCTTAATCCTATGGTCCCTGGAATACGATCCCCTGCCGCGAAGAATCGTTTTTTCATCCAAGTACACATTTTACTGTTGCGTTAAACAGAGGCTACAGTTAAGGAATTGCGCCCAGTAAATCCTCCCCGGCCAGGATACGAACCCATGACATAGCGCTCGCGGAACGCCAGGCGAGTGTCTTACCACTACACCACGGAGACTGTAAGACTTCACCCTCTTAGATGATCTAAGAGGGTGAAGAAATCGTAAAGAGAATGGCAATAGTGGACAGTAGTAACACACTTAAGAATTATTCAATAATCAATACAAATTCGTCCTTCACCTGGTAGAGGAAAGTCTACTTGGAAGGATTCAGTTTACATGAGATTAAGATTAGGATACAAATATATCTGGCAATACGGTGTTGATGTCAGTGAAAAAGATAAGGAGTGTACATGCATTATGTAGTATATCGAACGCCCACACCTTTGAACATTATGTATTAGAGTGTCAACTTATTGATAACTATAGAAATAAGGAAATAAGTAGTGTACCACATCAAATTGTTTGGATGTGTGATAATGGTATGATAGACAGAATACTTTGGAGCTACAAGAATTTTACCCAAAGAGTGTAACACTTATATGCTGTGCTTACTATATTAACCTGCAATGTTAAATGGGATTCTTGTATTGTGATTTGTGTATTTGTACTCATTGAATATGTGCGCCCCTTGAGGGACTTGTAGTAGAGGAGGGGGGTAGAAATAAGCTAAGCTATATTACTCTATCCCTTTGAGACGTATTTTTTTTTCTTGTCTCAATAAATATACTTGAACTTGAACTTGAAGAGGAAGGTTTTCTAAGTCAGTGTGAAGACTACACTGATCTTTCATATTTTTGATAAATTAATTTCATCTTTTCAAAATCATTTAGGATTGGTTTGAGAAAAGTGAAATATAGCTTATTGGGGAGATCAGAGTACATTGAAAATAGTTGACTTACAACTTATTTATCACAAGAGAAAGAAGCGATTTGGTAATGAGTTGTTAAAGAATCCCACTAATCTAACAGCCGCTTAAATTTACACTACCGCTCCTTGCCAACCATCGTCTTCCTGACAAAGGTATTAACTGTAAGGGATTTTTCCCATCATTTATCAATCTGTAAATTTTTAGATATCTTTCTCTCCTTAATGAAGATATGTAAAACCAGCTGTAGCTTTTGGGATGAAGTATTGATGACAATTA